ATTCATGAATGGAGCTGGGAGGAGAGGGAGAAGCTAAACATAAAAATCTTTGGAAAAATATTTAAAGAAATAATGATAAAAAGTGGTAAGGTTTGGAGGGCTACAAGAGAATGCAGATTTATTTGAGTTCTGTTTTTCTACTATAGATGTTCTGCTAACTAGAGCAGAGATGTTCAGAGACCACATATCGGCTGTAAAATCCTAGGACTGAGATTAATTAAATGTCTGTTGCTCCTCACAAAAACTACACTTGAGAGTTTTTTGGGCCTTCTAGTCTTCTGAACGAACAGCTGTAGCATACATCACATGCACATCTTGCACTCTTAAAATGTATTTTTATAACAAGTGTCATTTTTTTATAAGGAAAGTTTAACATTTTACCCTACCCTCCTGATTATCTTGCTGCTGTTCAGAAAATAAAAAAGGGTCTGATACTTACTGTACTAACATCTGATACTTCCTGCAGAGCATTGCCTCCACCCAACATGTGTTTTTAAATAAAATTCATAGTAGGTTCAATGGTCACAAATACTCACTTATGGCTTATGTGAGTCCATTTCTTGCAACAGTTGTAGGAAGGTGAGGACCTCATTCCTGTCTATTCTCTAGGTCAACACCTAGGAAATACGATTTGTCATTTGTGTCTTCTTTTTCCCCCTGACTGGACAATCGTATTGTTTCTTTTGATCAGTCAACTCACCCCTCCTCTGGATCCTGCTATGCAGGTGAAGGGTGCACTTTTATTATGTGATTTATTTTTATATATGATTAATCTTGCAGAAATCTCTTTTCCTCCTCCATAAGCTGACACCCTAACAATCTGATTTCTGGATGCCAGGCCTCAAAGAGTTTCCTATTTTCATTTGATATGGTACCCACAAACTCACAATATTCTTGTGTCGTTACACTTAAACAGTGCCCAACCCACCTTCGACTCCATACCCCTTATGGCTGCCTCCTTAGCTCTTACAGAAAAATGAAGCTGATGTCAAATGTAAGATTTCCAGCCTACTGGAACTGTTATATACTCGATATATTATTTACACATGCCACTTATAAAAACATAAGCCCCAAGCCAAAGGCGTCTCCTTCACTCCCACATGGCTGTACTTGAAGATGTCATTGACCATAAAGAAACAAGCAAAACATTTTGCCTTAAAGCTACAGCACTTCACACCATAAAGACTTGCTTTCCTTACCAAGTATAACTTCTTTAAGTTCATCATTTTACTGTAAATGAAGACAATTTTATTTTAAACTGGCCAATTACAACAACTACAGGTGGTGGCCAAATGCAGTGGTGGCTTGTGAGGAGCACAAAGGTACAACCTGACTAATGCCACCCAAGAACCTGCACAGTGAGGAACACCAACCTCTGTCTTATTGTGAAAATACTTTCTAATTGTTTTTCTGAGGTAGATGTTACTTGACCTTTAAATAAATAATTTAAGTCCTATAAAAACTGTACCGGACTCCTTAAAAATGTCAGCTGTGTTTGGAGGAAATGCCAGCTGTGGAACAGAGAGAACGTACAGCCCACAACAAGCTTTCCACTACTGCCTTTGCCACGTGCAATATGAGAAAGACAAAGAAGTTACCTCGGTCTCCAGAAGCCCTCAATTCCCAACACATCTGGTAAGACTGGCAGGAAGGATACACCAATAACGGTGATGTTGTCTTATTTATCAATCACAAACCCACTTCAATATCAACAAGCAACTTAGAGTCAGTCAAAACAACCACCAAGAGGTCTCCATTTGAATGGGTTTTCATAGCATTCAAGCCATGTAAAGAGACATGGTCCAAATAAGGGACAATGCTGACTGTGCTGCTGTCCTAGGGTGGGGGTCAAGGCTGTATAACTTATTCCAAATGCTGGAATATCTAGTCCTTTCCAGAACACTAGCCTAAAATATTAATCTTTAAGAGCTCTTTGCAAAATCACTTATAATGAATATTTTATTTAATAATGAGCACTTTAGAAATAAATTATTTCAGTGGTTGTCATGCATCACTGTAGGAAGACTTTAAGGTGAATAGAATTGAACATTATAATCATAATGTTTGTATTGTTAAAACTGCTGACAAGACCAATAAAGCATAGTAGATTAGAGAAGCAGCAAAATATCACTGGTAGATTTCTGGAGGAATAAAGATTCAAACAGCCTCCTGTTGCAGGCAGGCTTGGCCTTGCCAATATCATAGAATCATAGAGCCATAAAATGGTTTGGGTTGGAAGGCGACTCTGAAGATCATCTTGTTCCGACCACCCTGCCATGGGCAGAGACATCTTCCATGAGACCAGGTTGCTCAGAATCCCATCCAACCTGACCTTGAACACTTCCAGGGAATGGGGCAGCCACAGCTGCTCTGGGCAACCTGTGCCAGGGCGTCACCAGCATCACAGGGAAGAATTTCTTCTTAATATCCAATCTAAATCCACTGTCTCTCAGTTTGAAGCCATTCCCCTTATCCTGTGCCTCCATGCTTTTGTCCCATCTTTCATGAAGGTTCCCTTCAGGTACTGGAAGGCCACAGTTAGGTCACCACAAAGCCTTCTCTTTTCCAGGCTGAACAATCCCAATTCTCTCAGCTTTTCCTCATAGCAGAAGTGCTCCACCCCTCTAGTCATCTTGGTGGCCTCCTTGGTGGACTCCAACAGGTCCATGTGCTGGGGACCCCAGAGCTGGAGGCAGCACTGCAGGTGGGGTCTCACCAGAGCAGAGCAGAGGGGCAGAATCCCCTCCCTCCCCTGCTGCCCACACTGCTTTGGATGCAGCCCAGGACACGGGGGGTTCTGGGCTCCCAGTGCACATGGCTGGGTCATGTCCAGCTTCTCATCCATCAGCACCCCCAAGTCCTTCTCAACATATTAAAATTTCCTATAAAGTTAATAGAACAGAGGCTTTCAATTCTCAGGAGAGAGAAAGTTGTCCCATGTTAAGAAGAGTGTTGCTACAGGTAGTTTCTTGAATAGGATCTTACCCAAATCTGGGTCCAGTTCCCTGTGTTGATCACATGTCTATTAAATGCTGTTCAGTTGGTATTACTTTGAATCATGATGAGCAGGCAATTTTCCTGAGTTTGATTTGGTTTTCTTATATTTTTATAGAAAAAATGTTGCCTCCCATAGTAATTGCTATCTTCCCTGTGCAATTACATAGAAATGCCAGACAGTCCTAGCACCAGAACAATAAAAGCTGAACAGAATTATTTTAATTTTCAAGGAGAAAGAGTTAAGTCAATGGTGAAAGCAGGTGGTGTTGGGTAGGACATCTCTGCTAGGCCTTAACTACTGTCAGGGGGCTGCAGGCAAACACAAGGCTAATTTGTCAACAATCCAGTTGGATTCATGGTTTTCTACCCCTTGTAACATGACTGAGAATTGAAAAAGAGGTGATGCAAAACAGGACCATTTTATAAACAATTTAAAGGACACACAAATAAAATTATTAACAACTTTGCTGGTATTTCCACATCCCTCAAGTTATTCCTTCATGTGAATGTTTCTACTGCTTAGAGCAACGTTTCTTATGTGGCTAAGATGCTACATGATCAGGAATCTCCAGCTACCAAGGCTGTTATTTGAAGGATCCTAAAGGCTTTCAAGGACAAACCCAGGGGCTGAAACACAACTTTAATGAAAGCAGCTTGTAGCTCCCAGAGACTCCAGGGGATATTGTCTTCTTTCATCAGTATTGAATTGGTCCAAAGTGTACAAAACTTGCATTGTGCCTTAAAGCTAATTGAGGACTTCTCTCTCTCAGTTGAGAAAGGTCAGCTTTGAAATTTCCAGGTCAGAACTGTTTGACAAGGATTTAGCGTCATCCACAACTTGGGACATGCTAACAGGATTTCTTGTTTAAAGGCAGTGCTGTAACTGTAAAAAGAGGCTAAGAGGGCAAAACTATGAGGAAAAAGATGATTCATTTTTGTGATTTATCCTTACACTTCCAGGCTCTCAGACTAAAAGAGGTCTCTCTCGTTGCACGAGGCATGACTGACCTATCTTTCCGTTATTGCACTGCTGTGCTGAGTTACTGCAGTTTTGAAATATAAATAGGAAAGATTTCATAATCTATGGGGTAATTTGCAAAGGCTAATTTGTACCTTCCTGGAAAGCCTAGATCCTTGCTCAGTGAAACAGGGCACTGTGGAAGCTTAGTCAACTTTTCCTGTCATTTGGGAAATCAAAGATAACACAAGAGATGAGCAGTGAGACATATTTAATTATCACTAGCCCTTTTAGCATTCCTGCTTTTCTAAGGTTATATATGTCCAGACAGTTGGAATTAGGTTGTAGCATGGGAGAACCTTACACTGGCCTCTTGTGCACCATATGCCTTTTCATTGACAAACTAACACTTTTTTAATGAGAGTTTCTGAGGTTGTAATCCAAAATACATTCCTTATCCCATATCTCATCTTTAGCACCTCTCCCAGGGGTATCTGGGAGTTTGGATCCAGACATATTTGCAAATCCAGGGCTTGATCAGGTCCCAGTGAAGTCAATAAAAATATTGTTGGTACTGAAAAGATATGCATTAATCTCAAATGAAAAGTAAAACCCATCCAAGAAAAAATGTGAGGCAAATTACAGGTTCTTTTTCTAATCAAAATATGTCTTCTTTTTCTCTCTTTAAATTTTTCTTCAACTATTTTAACTTTATAACTAGCTTAAAGTAGCTGAGAAAATGTTTAAATTTTTAAATGTTGAATAGTCCTGGACCAATACCCAAAAATGTTAATGTGATCTTCCTGATATATAACTCTTAATTTTGAAACTTACTGACTCCAGTTAAAAATTCTTGGTGATGATAGAATACTGAAATGTAGAAAAAGAGATACCAGGAGGTTGAGAAATGAACTTCTGATCTCAGGTATCACCATTTCTGGAAAAATGGAAAAAGAAGAAAAAACACCAGCAAAACTTCAGTGCGTTAAACATTTCATAAGCATAACCTCAGGGTTATGTTAATGTAATCATTTACATGGGAATATTAATTTTTGAAACATTTGTGGCTTTAATTAACCTGTTCCTTAGAGAAGTGCCAGACTCTCAAAGCAGCCCCTGGAAGCTACAGAGGCGAGTGCTGGTCTGCCATTCTCTGTGCATCCCACCACCACGGCTGTGATCCAGATGTGCCCATCACTCCCTTGCAGTCAGAGCAGTTGGGCTGAGATGCTGTTTACAGGTGAGGATGGAGTTGGAGACCTGCATCCCTCTGGAGTCCTACAGCCAGAGAGCACCTGTTCCAGGCACCCGTTTTGGGACATCGAGAGGAAACATGAGATAATAAGCACTGCTGTTTCCCATGCATCCATGCTACGCATGCATCCCATGCATCCATCCTGGCTACGCAGGGTCCGTAACTCAGCAGGGGAAATCAGCAGGGTCGGAATCCTCAGGGGTCCCCTTCCTCCCGCCTTCCCAGAGCCCATGCTGCCTTCCAGCCATGGTCTGGGCAGAGAATGAGCTGTTTGCCAATCTCCAGTCACTCTGTGGGCAATGTTAAGGTGGAAAGGGCACATGAAAAGGGAAATGCAGTCATCTGCGCTTCGCGGTGTCCCTGTTGGAGCACGAAGCAGGGGGTGGAAGACGAGGGAATAGGGTTAGTGGATATGTGTGTCAGCGGGGGGATGATCTAAGTATCTGAAGTCATTCGAAAGATTAGAGCAAGCATTACCGCTTCCCCGCCCTCTCTCGTCCTCGGGGCTCAGGGGAAATCACAGTCCACACTAGATGACAGCTTGCCGGGTCTTAATGACAGGTTGAATGAAGACGAGCCGCGGCCGCCCAGACAAAGAGGGGAAGTTTGGCGCTGCCGCCGACCCGGGAAAGAGGCATGGGCAGGGGCCGAGCCGGGACACGGGGGGCAGCGCCGGGGACACCCCCGGCCAGCCGCAGCCGCTCCGCTCCCCCGGCCGCCTCGGGCGCCGCATCACTGGCGTTCTCGGAAAAGCCCCGGACGCTTCCCTCCCCTTCGGAGCCAGACGCAAACCTGCCTCCTCCACCGAGCGTTGCAAACTGCAGCGCCAGGCAGCAGAGCGGGGGCGGCGGGCAGGACGGGAGGTAAGCCCGGCTCCACCGTCCCCGGCCAGCGGTGACAGCTCAAACCCCGGGTGACTCTGGGGCTTCAAGCGTTTCGGGGAAAACCTCGCGGTTTTCACACACAGTTTTTTCTCCCGCTCTCTCTCTCCTCCCCGGCTTCCTCCGGCTCTTCCCCTCTTCTGCTTCCCTCTCTCCCTCTCACTATCCCTCCTTTTCTCCTCCCCCCGCAGCCGCCCCCCCCTTTCCGCCTCCCCTCAAGTTTCTCCTTCTGTCTGATTAAATGAGAAGGAAGTGTGGGAGTGGTGGTTTTGAAGCTCTCCCTTTAAGAGGCAGCCTGCAGTGACGAATTGTTGAAATTGCCATTGCAGGATGGCATTCCGCTATAAATTCATTGTTCCACCTCCTCTCATCTTCACATTTCTCTCCCTTCTCCTCTTGTTCACATCGACAGACTGGGGATAACAACAACAACAGAAAAGATACAGGGAGGGCGCTTTTACAGAAATCCAGGACGTTTTCCGCTTCTTGGGCGCTTTTTTTTTTTTCTTTTTAACCATCTCGCCGGAGACGATCGAGGCGGTTTTTGGTGCCTGAATTTCTTGTCTCCCTTTCTCCTCTTCAAAACAAAAGGGGGCAAAAGAAGGAAAGGGACCCCACCGGAGCCCGAGAAAGTGCCGAGTCGCAGCAGACCTGGCCCCTGCCCCTGCTGCTGCTGGTGATGATCCGGTGACTACAGCAGAGAAGTGGAAGAGGAGTGGGAAGTGCTCAAACTTCTCTACTTGCCGGTTCCGAGCCTCCTCTCCTCCTTTTCCTCTCTCCCCACTTTGCCTCCCCGGCAGCAGCAGCGATCTGGGATTTTTTGCCTCTCTCTCTCCTTCCATGTGCTCCCGGCTCTTCCCTGCTGAGAAACACAAAGTTCACACGCGAGCGGCTTTTGTTGACATTTTTTTCTCTCCCACTCACACTTGACTCGAGTTTGGGAGGGAGAACTTTCTTTTTCCTTTTTTTTTTTTTTTTTTTTTTTTTTTTTTTTTTCCCCTTCCCCCCCATCTTCCCCCTTCTTCTTCCCGTCCCTTAACTACGCTGCCGCACTCCGCCGGGCCGGCTCTTTCCACCGCCGTCCCCGACTCCTGTTATTATTATTACTCCTCCTAATTCCCGCCGCCGCTCCTGACGGCGGGGCAGGATGCTCCTGAGGCTGCTGTCGCTGCTGCTGGCGGCCCAGCCGCACCGCGCTCTGGCCTCGCCGCCGGCACCTGCCGACCCGGGAGCGCCGCCGCCGCCGCCCCCCCGGCCCCCCGCCCCCGGGCCGCCCCGCGGGGCCAGCGGCGTCGTGCGGCGCCTCGACCCGACCTACGCGGGGGGCGGCAAGGCGGGGTATGTGCTCTACGCCGGGGGACAGCGCTTCCTGCTCGACCTGGAGCGCGACGGGCCGCGCTGCCACTACCGCGGCACGGTGGACGGCAGCCCGCGCTCCCTCGCCGTCTTCAACCTCTGCGGCGGCCTCGACGGCTTCTTCGCCGTGGGGCGCTCCCGCTACACCGTCCGGCCGGCGCGGCGCGGCGCGGAGGCGGCCGGACCGCGGATCTACGGGGAGGGCCCGGCCCGAACCCCGCACCTCTTCCGCAGGGAGCGCTTCAGCTTCGAGACGGTGCCGGCCCGCACCAGCTGCGAGACCCGCGACCCCGCCGGGGCGGAGGCGGGGGACGGGCGGCGGCGGCGGCGGCGTCGCTCCGTCTCCCGGGCCCGGCAGGTGGAGCTGCTGCTGGTGGCCGACGCCTCCATGGTCCGCAAGTACGGGAAGGGGCTGCAGCACTACCTGCTCACCTTGGCCTCCATCGCCTCCCGGCTCTACGCCCACGCCAGCCTGGAGAACCACGTCCGGCTGGCCGTGGTGAAGGTGGTGGCCCTGGGCGAGAAGGAGAAGGGGCTGGAGGTCAACAGGAACGCCGCCACCACTCTCAAGAACTTCTGCAAGTGGCAGCACCAGCACAACCGCCTCGACGACGACCACGACGAGCACTACGATGCCGCCATCCTCTTCACCCGCGAGGTAGGCATCGCCCTGGCCGGCAGAGGCGTGCTGTTCCTCGGGCCGTGGGTGGCCGGGCTGCAGCGTGGCGAGCCTGGCGGGCCTCCAGCCTCCAGCTCTGCTTTAGCCCGTGGTTGCCTCCCCGCCCAGGGATTCGGCTCTCCCGTCGGGTTGCACTGCATCTCAGGGACAGCCGACAGGGATGGAAGAGGGGTTGAGAACCCAACCAGTGGTGCACGTATTTGTGTGTGCCCGCTCCCCTCTCCTGCGCAGTCACCCCCACTGCGGGTACACATTTTCGTGCCAGTGCAGTGTTGGGACTCCTGCCAGGGTGGAGAGGGGGTGATTTGCCTGATCGGGGGGACTCAGCTGAGGCCGCCCAACTTATCTCTGCTTAAGACATGACATTGTTCCATCTTTCCCAGTGAGATGTTTAACACGCAGCTCCTCTCTCTCTGCAGTTGTGGTCCAAGCACAAAGGGTTGATAGCACTTCCTAGACTAAATTAGTCCCCAAACAAACCTGCTAGTGAAAATGGTGGAGGACACCTTAAGAGTACAGACGACTTCCTTGTTGAGTGCATTGAGATGCTATTTCCAGCAAGAATAGCTTGACCACACTGGAAGCCAGCAGCACTTGTGGTTCAAGTGTAGGACGTAAATGCAAACCACAGGTAAACAGAGCTGCAAAAGTTGGTTGAGTTGGGCTGCTGGTGAGGGGATGCAGTCCTTTTCTTTCCCCCCAGGTGAAAAACGGGTGTCCTGATAACTGTGGCTTGGATCTAGCTGGTATTACCCATGCAGAGCCATGCTCCACGCTTGGTTGTTGATTAATTGCGTTGCCAGAGGTCGTTAAGGGACATTGCTCTAGTAGACATGTGGCTGAGTTTATGCAATGAAGTTCTTCTGTAAGAATATCCCTTCAGCGGTTTGGGTTTGGTGTTTTCTTTTTTTCCCTTCCCCAAGTATGAAAAAAATAACTGCATGACTTTCCGTTCATTTGAGTTCTCCTGCTTTTCTACATCATAGGAGCCTGCCAAAAAGGATGCTTTGGATGGTTTGTGGAAGGAGTTGCTCCAGAAGGGGGAAAAAAAGTGCCTGGCTTGCTTTTATAGCTGTAAATAGTTGAAACATTAGGTTCTGTGTCAGTCAGGCATCACTTGTGCAACAGGAGCCTTTTTTAGCAGTTTAAGACCCATCAGTCCAATTTGCAAACTTTCATTTTTTTATCATTATAATCTGAATAAAAGTCTGGGTCAGAATGCTCTTGCTTTTTGCTATAAGGATCCTTTCTAATGGCTTATTAATTACGCCTGGGCCAGAATCCATCACTTCTCACTGAAGAGTGTTTCTCTCTGCCAGTATTCCCATTTATTTCCCTGGGATTTATGACAATTCAGAAACTCTTAGGGTGGCAGACTGTGAACCTTAACATCAATTATTAAGTTAATTTGGATTGAGATAGGATGTGAATTTAAAGTGCACTTGCTTTACAGATGCTTATCTGTAATTCTTTGCATGGATGCCCTCCTGCCAGAGTAAGAGTGTACTGCTAATCAGTAACCCACTTTCAAAGACTCCTGAGCAATGCATCTTCCATGTGTAGAGTTACTTCTTTTGGATGTAAGTAGTACCTAAACTAAACAAAACATCACAGTTCCTGTGGTCTTCTTCTGCTCTTAAGGTGCAAATATTGCTTGCATTGTTACTTAGGGATGTAAATGCTTTCTGAGAAAAAAGCACAGGCTTCCCGTTTCCTTAGTTTACATTTTAACAGCTTTAACTATAGGATTATCTCCTCGATGCAGTTCAGGATAAATTAATCTGCTTTAATGGTTAGCTGTGTGCACACACACATTGTTTGGCGTGGCAGCACATCGTTTGGCATTGTATTTCGGTATTTTACTCAATAAGAACAAGACCAGAGTTTCTCGCTACATGTGTTCATGATGTTCTTTGCAGGGAGTATGTGTGAGTCCACACGATTTTTATATGCTTACACTTGAAATGTCAACATGAATCTGTTTGCTCCTCTTGGAATGTAAACACAAAAAGGGTTAAAGGATGAAAAAGCAGTAAAGATGTTTCCTGGACAAAACAGCCCCACTTTGAACTAAAGAGATATTTTTCCAGTTTGGCTTTTCAATGAGAGTGGCAGCAATTGGCAGGAGAATTGCACTTTTACAACTATGTTTTGAATGTATGAAGTACGTTGCCTAGCTACAAGACGCCAAGCCACGGCCGCGTGTTTTGATGGGCTCTGAATACTGTCATGCTGATTCTTGAACATCCAGACGCCTTTTTCTAAATGACTTGTTTTTTAGGCATGGAGTAAGTGTGTGAGGTACATTTTCCGTCTTTGTTTACTAACCGAGGCCACCTTGAACTTTGTGTCTCTCCGTCAACAGAATAATATTTGCAAATCATTTGTCAGCTGAATGCATCTCCTCAGCTGCATGTAACTGTTTATGTGTAGATAGAATCTACATTATGCATGTCTGTTGTCATACAACTCTCTAATATAATAATTATCTTCGTCCCGGAGTGACATTTACTTGCATGCTATTTTTACACCAAAAGAGGCTGTCTGAAAAGATAGTAGCTTTATTGGAGTTCCTTAGAAAGGAAGAATCCTGACAGAATTCAGCACTGTTGCTTTCTCTTCTTTGGTTGTCTTTACTTCTTTAAAGATAAATTAGTAACCATTGACAGACTAAGGGTGTGCTGGCAGCTCTCTCTTATTATAAAATTAGTACTGGCAGTTCAAATTAGGGTCATCATCATTATTCATACTAGGAAGCACTTCCCATAAAAAAAGATTTTTAGAAGGAAATTTACTGATTCTGAGTTAAAATAGCCACTTTCGGTCATAATCTGTGTTTAATTTCATAAGGGTTTTAAAGCAATTATGCTGCAGACTGTAGTAAATAGTAAATAAATACGAACATGAGTTCAGTTTTGGGTGATACAGGCAACACGTTAAAGATATTTTAAGACACTGTATTGCTTATCAAGTGATGGCAAGGGCCATTTACCTGTCCATTAGCTGCAGTAGGTCCTGTGTTTACTCTGTAACTGCAAGGAACATGTCTGACCATTGTTATCAACTGTGTAGGAGATTGTGAAAACCTTCAGTGGACACAGAAGTTATCTATCACTAAATATTGCAGAAATTTAGTTGGGTTCCACAGTGATTATGTAAATTCCCAAAATCTGATGAGGAAAAGTGTATTTTCCCAGGGATCTCAGTCTCTCATTTGGGGCCATGATGACCAGTATCAAACATGACAGAGGTCTGACTTGGCAGTTACAAAAAGGGATAATTTTCTAATATTTCTAAATCCCATGAGAGCTCTCATTAAGGCAGCCTGGCCATAAGGACTTCAGAGAGTACATGGGTCCCCTGCTGTTCGACTACTTTGTGGTTGAGTCCTTGACAGCAGCTGTAAATTTTTGGGCTGCATGCATGCTTAGAGCATCCTCCGTGGAATATGGTGGTGCAAGGATTTGATCAGCTGGTGGCCAGGTGAGTCCTACACGCCATGTAGCAAGTAGGGAACTGACTGTGTGGTGGGAAGGAGGAAAAGCTTATAAAGCCCTCTTTCCCTGCAGATGAGCTCGCTTGTTCTCAATGGCAATGAAGTCAAGAGTAAATTTAGAGTTCAGGCTGTTTCAATCTCTTTTTATTGTGAACAGTTCTCAGAAGCTGGAAGCAGGTTATCTTCAGATTTTTATGGGTGCAACAAAACACTTGCCAGATTATTTGTCACAGTAGAAGAACATATTAGACATGACTTGCAAACTGCAGTTGAACTCACACTGTACCTTTTCTGAAGTCTAGCCTGCTCTGCAATTATCCTTTAGAATTCATCCAATCTATTTCATTAGTGACCCTTAGTTAAATTTCAAGTGAACAATTGAATGTGTTTGGACAAAATCCAGCTCTCTTCCTTTTCCTCCAGTTCTGAATCATATGGAGGTTAAAACAGATATTTCTCACAGTAGATACAGACAGGAGCAATAAAAAATACTTTCCTAAGTGCTTGTTAGCATCACCCTTGATAGTACCATCAGCTGTGGCTCTAACAAAAAAGTTCATGCTAGAGCCAAAGGCTGCTGTCCTTCCTTTTTCTACGTAGTAATTATATGGGTCTTGTGGCTGTGATTTAGTTTAACTGTCCATCTGACAGTACTGTTGAAATTTAACACCAAGTTTTATATTATCTCAGCTCTGTAGATGCTAATTTCCTTGCATGGAGCACATGCTTTCTTTGGCTCTAATTCTTTCTTCCTTTTTTTTTTTTTCCTCTATTATCATCTTCCCACAGTTATTATGCTGTGGCAGTAAAACAAGTCATTGTACCAATGGTCAATAGAATATATTTCATTGTTTATTATTATTACTCTGAAGAAATTATAGTATGATGT